ACATAGTTGCTGATTGATTCAATTAAAATACGTGAAAAACTATCGACAATTAAGGTCATTAAATGTATGTTGTTGCATAGTTTATATGTATATACATATACTACGTAGGTTTATAATAATTAATAAGACATATTGCATTTTTTACTCATTTTAAATTGATAACATATTTTTTAAAAGTACGAATAACTCAATGAGACAAATGTATATATATAGTGAGCCCCCTTATATCTTTATGACTTGGGTGGCCTCTGCCTACAAGAGAAAGCCAGGCGAAACAACCGTGAGGAGCGTGAGCAGACACATCGGCTGGAAGGTTTACCAGCCTCCTCCTCAGTTGTAGGTCGCGAGAGGAACTTTACGAAGAAGGTATTTTTAAGGCCCACTATCCTGACTCACAGTCAGCAGATAGTGATCCGGGAAACGACCTGAAAATGAGATTTTATTTGGTCAGCTACATACCTTCCTCCAACACGTTCTCCATTCGTAGAGACTTTGAGGGCAAGGACCAAGCAACCTCGGGTCCAGATACCCGAGCTCCGCGATCCCCGTCCACTAAGCAGAATTAAGCGGCAAATATTTGCCGTTTACCGAACGCTTGATAAAGCGTGTCGAATCATTGACAGGAAAGATGACTCCGACCTGCTGTTGTGAGGCCCTGATCAACATGGAGCTGCAGCGTCAACGCCAGATCGTGAAGTGTACACTGGTTCTTCACTAGCTCTCTATCATTAGGAAAAAAAATAAATGTCACAACTGGCCCTTTTCAGGGTCATTAATAAATTTTACCGTAAAGTAACTGCCTTTAATCTCATTGGTCCTTTTAAGGGCAATTCAACGTTGAACCAGTTTTCCAAAAAAATACATATATTTATTAAGACTGCTGTTTCAGACTCATGTCTTACAGCAACATATAGCTAATCAAGGATCTTTCCTTTACTGGCAGACATCGAGAGCAGAGCTATTTGTCGTGAGTCTGGGAACCCTGGCCACCGACGATCTTCTACACTCGAATTACATGGGCCAGAAATTTTTTTTTCTCCAAGATTAGCTTTCAGCTAACTTGGTCAATCACATTGGCCCTTTTCAGGCTCATTTATCGTTGAACATCTGCCAAAATATATATTGTAATTGACAAAGTTTACAAAACACAACACTTTTTAGGGAGCGCAAAAATTTTTAACAATGCCTTGAATCGCAAGAGGGCAAATTGGGAGGAGAACTTTTAATGCTTTAAATGTTTACAACTTTAGGAGTCGAGAAACTGATGCAGAACATTCATCGAAAGTAGAACAGCAACGAAAAAATCGACCACTAAACGACTATTTAAGGGACAGATCCGCTTTCTGTTACAATCCTGACACTGATTACTTAAATCTTCCATCGATTCAAATTGGCGAAATAGTTTTTATTTGCACTCATTGTGGTGCTAAAAAATGAAGAAATAAAGCTCCAGGGCTCTGTTGTTCTGGTGGTAAAGTTTTCCTTGATCCATTGGAAAATCCGCCTGAATTGGTAAGATGTCTGTTAATGGACAAACACCCCCTATCAAAACATTTCCTTGATAACGTCAGACGTTACAATACGCATTTTCCAATGACGTCATTTGGAAGTAAAGAAATTAAAGAAGGAAACTTTATGCCAACTTTCAAAATCCAAGGTCAAGTATACCACTTAATAGGTAGGTTATTTTCTGAACAGAACAAGAGTCCGCAGTGCTTACAAATCTATTTCATGTCTAAAGCAGAACAAATTTTTATTAGGTCTAATAATGCCCTAAAAAAAAGTTTGATTAAATTATTACAAAAAGTAATGCATGATTGCAATCCTCTCATAAGAACTTTTGAATCTAATTATGACTCTCGAACAGTAGATGAACTTGAAAACTTAAAATTGATTATTCATGCCGACCAAACCCCTGTTTGGGAGCATCGGGGACGATACAATGCGGCTAGGGTGAATGAAGTTGCTGCACTAATAGTTAATAAGGAAAAAGGCCCTAGAGCCATTATTCTACATGGTTAACATGAACGGTTGGAGCGAGTTTCTGAGCTCCACCGATTCTATGACTCATTGCAATATCCTCTTATGTTTGTTCTCGGAGAAAATGGATATTCTATTGATATACCATTTTACGGTCTTTAAAACAACACTGTTTCTTTCATGCAGTTCTACTCTTATAGGTTTATGTTAAAAAATGATTATATAAATTACCTGCTTTATTATAATTTGCTGTTAATATGATGGCAAAAATAATCACGGAGCGTTTACTTTACTTGAGAACACATCAAAAACAACTGCATGCTGGAAGTTATATTTATCTACGAAATGCAATAAAAAATGATCGTAACATTGAACCCTCCAGTATTAGACAGCCTGTAAATTTACCATCCTCATTCGCTGGCTCATCGCGATATATGCATGAAAAAACTTAAGATGCAATGGCTTACGTGCATGCGTTTGGGTGTCCATGTTTATTTATCACTTTCACGTGTAACCCTGAGTGATCGAGAATAAAAAATGAATTACACAAAAATCAAAAACCTTAAGACAGGCATGACATTGTTTCAAGGGTTTTTCACTTAAAATTAAGGAAACTTATAGATGTCTTCACTAAGAGAGCAATATAAGCAATATACGGCGAAGTTGATGCTTGGATCTACAGTGTCGAATAAAAAAAACAAGGGCTATCTCATGTGCACATACTTTTATGGCGTGAAACAAAAATTCAGCCTGATAAAATAAATAAGATCATTTCAGCTGAATCACCAGATCCTCAACAAGATCCCTTGCTATTTAATATCTTATAAAAAAGTATGATTCATGAACCTTGCGGCGAATTCAACATGGCTTTACCATGTATGGATAATGGAAAATGTACAAAAAAGTTTCCTCAAAATTTTCTTAAAGAAACCCTAACTTCAGATGATGGCTACCCGACCTATCGTAGAAGAGCATCTGCAGATGGAGGTCATAGTTCTGTACTTACAATTCGTGGCAAAGAAGTACNTACTCAGTTGCAGAGTCCAAAGACTCTCAAAAAAGAAAAACTCGTATCGTCGCTTGCTTTGGCTGTGCGTTCAGATATATACAGCTATATAGCCGACATTTCCACTCCTCTCCTCGTAGGCGCACATTCGGTATACCCCTTCCACGCGTCTCCAAAATGTGCGCCTATATGGACATTTCCACGCGAATCCACTCTTCTCATACCCCTACCGTGCTGCTCAAATAAAAAAAAAAATGTGCGCCTGGTTCGGCCGCTTGGCCGCGGCGGGGCGCTCGAACCACTGGAAAAAAGTGGGCACACTCCGTAGCATGGCAGTCAGCAATCTCCCAACTAATCTCTGCTTACGTTTAGAATTTTATCTTAAAAGTTATCAGAAAGCTTACAAACATCAGCAAAACATTCAACAGATTTTCGAAAATCCGAAAAAAACAACATTGATGGCATTTTTTCAACTTTACGTAACAGATAATTTTGCTAAAACTCTTTTGTACTCCGAAGTTGCCGCCTATTACTGATGGGACAGTAATAAATTTGTGTAAAGAAAACAGGGAAAAGATGTTCCAGGCTGGCAAGGAGTAAAAAAAGATTTAGCTATAGGTAGAGCTTACACGATTCATCCCACGCAGTTGGAGTGCTTCGATCTTTGAATGTAACTTCAATATGTTCAAGGCCCAACTTCATTCGAGAACTTGAAAAGCGTTGATGGTGTTACTCACGCACCTTTCAAAGTAGCCTGTTACGCACTTGGTTTATTGCAAAATGATGATCAATGGAAAAAAACACTTGCAGATGCTGCTTTGTCTGAGAATCCATCTAAATTACGTGACTCATTTGCTATTATTTTAGTTTTTTGTGAGCCATTGCAACCTAAAATTTTGTGGGATGTGTTTAAACAACAAATGTGTGAGGATATTCTTCACTCTCGACGAATTCAACTCAACGATTTTGAAGTTGAATTTTTCCAAGCTGAAGACAAGATCATCTCTCTCTCAGAAAAAAATTTGACTGCATTTGGGCTAAACTCACCATTTCGAGATGAACTCTGTAATATTGATCCTTTTGAACATTCCATCAGACATGGTTAGTATGATTATAACTATTCATATAACTACGTTTAGCAAAATCTTCCAAAGTTGGTTCCAGACCAACAACAAGCTTTTGATCGTGTAATTGATAGTGTCTTAAATATTAGTGGAAAAGTTTTTTTCCTGGATGCTCCTGGAGGCACTGGAAAAACATTACTAATAAATCTTATGTTGGCTCAAGCTAGATCAGCTGGAAAACTGGGCCTTGCTGTCGCATCTTCTGGCATTGCTGCCAATCTTTTGAGTGGAGAGACAGCTCACTCCGCTTTTAAACTTCCATTATGTGTTTTCTCCGGAGAAGATTACACGTGCCCGATACGCAAAAATGGCCCACTTGCAAGAATTCTTCAAGATACAACATTTATTGTATGGGATGAGTGCACAATGAGTCACAGAGCTCTTATTGAAGCAATTATTAAAATATTGCAAGATTTAAAATCAAACCAGAATTTAATGGGTGACATTACATTTTTTTTTGCTAGTGACTTTAGGCAGACATTACCATTAATTCGGAGAGGAACTAGAGCTGATATTTTTCATGCCTATTTAAAATCATCATTTCTGTGGCATTATGTAAAGTCTTTTCATTTACGTACTAATATGAGAGCACATCTCTGCGGAAGAAACACGGAATTACCAACACAGCTATTAAAAATTGGCAATGACGCGATGGAAAATTAAAATGGTTTTATCATCCTAGATTAATTTATTGGAAAACTGGCAACAAATGTCAATAATCTTATTTCTGAAGTTTACCCAGACATTGAAAATTTATCAAACAAATTATACCAATGGTTATGTACGAGAGCGATTATTTCACCGAGAACTTCTACAGCAGAGGGAATTAACAACATTATTCTTCAAAAGTTTGTAGCTGATTCTCAAGAGTACCTCTATATTGATTCAGTCATCGCATCTAAAGATGTTGTTGATTATCTTCAGGAGTTTTTAAACTCCCTAACTTCATCAGGATTTCCACCCCATAAATTGAGTTTGAAATTTGGAGCTCTGATTATGCTACGACGTAATCTTCAACCCCCGAACCTGTGCAATGGATCCAGACTGCACATTCAAACTCCGCGAAATAATGTTATAGAAGCTACTATTTTGATAGGTCCAGTATCAGGAGAAATATCTTTTATTCGAAGAATCCGAATGCTACCAACTAATTTCTCTTTTCAGTTCAAGCGTTTACAGTCTCCTGTCAAAGTTTATTTGCGATGACAATTAACAAGTCACAAGGACAAACTTTTAATTTTGTGGGGGTAGATTTACGATCAAACTGCTTTTCACATGGACAATTAAATGTCGGGCTTTCAAGAACTGGTAATCTACATTATCAGATTGTTTCAATTTCTTCTGATACAAAACTAAAAATGTCACGTATAATGAAATTTTGTAAATAAAAAAATAATTTTAAATTACATATTTGTATCTTTACAGCTTTAATAAATAACCCTTTGCTATATCATAACATTAATATGTAAAAATCAACGGGTCTTTTTAGAGCCAATACCTATTTTATGACGTCAAGAAAGCACGCTACTTTCTACCATCATTTTTTTCCTTTTTATGATATTTTCAGTAAAAAGTTTTTTTTTCAAGAAGTGTCAAAAATAGATGTGAAGTTTATTACTGAAAACGTCCTATATTATTTGTCAACGC